CTCCTCCCCGCCCTCCTCTGCTGATGCTGCTGCTGCTGCTGCTGCTCGCCCTCCTCCTTCTGTCGCTGTCGCGGCTGGCATCGATGGCGATCCTCGTCCTCCTCCTCCTCCTTCTCCTCCTTCTCTGCCTCCTCGTCGTCGTCGTCCTCCTCCTCCTCCCCCTGTCCCCCCCGCTCGATGTTGAATTCACACTCCTAAAGAATAGTTACTGTTAATTCCCTGGTTCTGGTGCACCTTGTGTTCTTCCAATTTAAACGATCCTCCCAGGGATCGCACCTTCTTTTTTTACAAGGAGAGATTTTCCTCCTCAGATTGTGCTGTTGCCACCCGAACACACCACCACCACCACCACCATCACCACCACCACCACCACCACCACCACCACCACCACCACCACCACCACCACCACCACCACCACCACCACCACCACGGACAACGACAACAAGAATCATTTTAAGGCTGATCGCTCCTTTCAGCTCGCGTGCCAGTCATCACGTACATCCCAAACCATCAGTGCCCGCCCTCTTCGTCTTCGATCGTACCCCTTTGGGGGTATATCTTTCTTATCTGCTACATGCATTTAGTGCGGCCCCTGAAACAGGGGAAGAGGGGACGGATGGAAGGGGGAAGGGAGAATGATGGAGGGGGGCTAGGAACAGAAAACACGTGGCAGAACCAGACGGGCAGATCGGGCGGGCAGATCCTAGATGGCGGGTCGGGAAGGGCGCCCAGGTGGCCAGGTCGAGTAGGCGGGTTGCTGAAGCGTGAGTCCTACATGAATCGCGAGCAAGTTTAGAGAGATTGCGCGGTTCCCAAGTAAGTCGTGAGAAAGGCCGAGGCGAGAGTGTGATTCCTGAGTGTCGATGGCACTGTGTGTGAGGAAGTCTCGCCCGAGAGCGCGATTTTGGAATACATTGTGAGGAAGTGTCAGGCGGGGGCCGTTGTTGTTTTAGCCAAGGGGGCACCAGCGCAGTTTGAGCGGGAAGGTTTTCTTTGATAGGACAACAGGGTGCGAGCCCCGGGGGGCACTTCAGTTGAAGATCGCAATGTGCAGCGGTGAGGAGGGATCAATAATAAGCATTCTCCAAGAGTGAGTCCAACAACAACACCAACAACAGCAGCAACATGTAACAAACAACAAGCAACAAACAACAAACAATCATCAACAACATCAACAACACCAACAGCAACAACCACAACAACAGCAACCAACACCATTTTCAGACTGTTCGCTCTTATCTGCTCGAGTGTCATTCAGCGTGTATTTCCCGAACCCTCGATGCCCGCCCTTTTCGTCTTCAATCGTGCCCCTTTTGGGGATCGATCTTTCTTCCCTGCAGGCCGGGCCCTGGCAAGCGGCGGGGTGGCCGCGGACCGTCGGCCTGGCCAGCGGCAGCGCTGCTCTGCGGCAACCCGACCCCGGGCGCGCGTGGGGCCACGAAGGGCGCGAACGAGCGGGGCCACGAAGGGCATGTAATGCGGGGCCACAGAGGGCAATGACAGGGCCACCGATTTTTGCAACGGGGCCACGCAGGGCAGCGAGGGGGCCGAAAAGGGCGACGGCGGGTCCGCGAAGGGCTTGCATATGGGGCCGCGACGAGCGCGAACGAGCAGGGGCCACGAAGGGCATGCGTATATTGGGCCACGGACGGCAAGGGCGGGGCCGCTGAGGACAGCGACGGGGCCACGATGGGCAGCGAGGGGTCCGCGACAGGCGACGGCGGGACCGCGAAGCGCATGAATATGAGGCCACGACGGGCGCGAACGAGCGGGGGCCACGAAGGGCATGCGTATATGGGGCCACGAAGGGCAGCGAGGGGGCCGCGAAGGGCTGCAACGGGGCCGCCAAGGGCAGCGAGGGAACCGCGAAAGGGTGCAACGTGGCCACGAAGGGCAGCGAGAGCGAGCGGGCCACGAAGGGCTGCAACGGGGCCAAGAAGGGCAGCCAGGGGGCCACGAAGGGCGGCGACGGGTCCGCGAAGGGCGGCGAGGAGGCCACGAAGGTTTGCAACAGGGCCACGAAGGACAGCGAGGGGGCCACGAAGGGCATGCATATATGGGGCCGCGAAGGGCAGCGAGGTGGCCACGAAGGGCTGCAACGGGGCCGCGAAGGGTAGCGACGGGGCCACGAAGGGCTGCAACGTGACCACGAAGGGCAGCGAGGAGGCCGCGAAGGGCTGCAACGGGGTCACGAAGGGCAGCGAGGGGGCCACGAAGGGCTGCAACGGGGCCGCCAAGGGCAGCGAGGTGGCCACGAAGGGCTGCAACGGGGCCGCCAAGGGCAGCGAGATCCCGATTCCCAATGAAACTGTGAGGGAGTCCTAAGCGTGAGCGCGACGCTTGGGTGCCTGAGTGTCGGGATCGCGGCGCTTGAGTACATTGCGGGGAATTCCAGAGCAAGAGCGGGATTCTTGAGGAACTTGCAAGCAAGTCTCAAGCGAGAGCGTGATTCCAGAGCGCCGAGAGAGCCATTCCTGAATCAATTACAAGGAAATCCCAAGCGAGAGCGCGATTTCTGAGTAAACTGCGAGGGAGTCTCAGGCGGGAGCGGGGGTCGCTGCTAAATTGTAAGGACTTCTCAGGCGGGAGCCGTTGTTGTTGTAACCGGGGGCCAAGGGCACAGTTTGAGTCTAGTGAGTTTCCCGGATAAGCAACAGGGTGCGAGACCCTGAAAAGGCACTTCAATTGACAGACGCAATGGTCACTGGATGGGGGATCATCAATAATCATTGTACTACTGAGAGTTCAACAACAACAGCAGCAACACCACCAACAACAATCATTATCATACTGTTCGCTCTTCAACACGTATATCCCGAACCCTCGATACCCGCTGTCTTCGTCTTCGATCGTACCCCCTTGGAAGGATATGTTTCTTACCTGCAGCGAGTATTCGTGCAACCCTTAGGAAGGGGAGGCGACGACGGATGGAAGGAAGGGACAAGGGGAGGGAGGATGATGGAACACGACATAGCAAAAGAGGGGGCTAGGAACAGAAAGCACGTGGCAGAGCCAGACGGGCAGATCGGCCGGGTAGACCATAACGGGCGGGTCGGGCAGGGCCCTAACGGGCAGGTCGGGCGGGCGGGCCCAGACGGCCCGGTCGAGCGGGTCGCTGACGCGTCAACCCGATAAGGATCGCAAGGAAGTTTCGAGTGCATCGCGAGGAAATTCAAAGCGTGACCGTGATTCCTCAGTGTTGGGGGCACGGCGCCGCAATGCATTGCGAGGAAGTGCCACGCGAGAGCGCATATGTTGTGAGGACGTATCAGGCGGGAGCCGTTGTTGCTGTTGTTGTGGGTTGTTGTTTTTTGTTGTTTTTGTTGTCTTTGTTGTCGTTGTCGTTGTCGTTGTCGTTGTCGTCGTTGTTGTTGTCGTCGGCGTCGTCGTCGTCGTTGTTGTTGTTGTTGTTGTTGTTGTTGTTGTTGTCCTTATTGTTGTTGATGCTCCTGCTGCTGTTGCTGCTGCTGCTGCTGCTGCTGTTGTTGTTGTTGTTGTTGAATATTATTACTTCTAAAGAATAATTATTGTTGGGCCCCCTGGTGCACGCCCCCCCCGCCGCGCCTAGGCCGCAGCCACATTTTCATCATTTTCGTGAGGAAGCCTCAGGTAAAACGATGTGATCCAGATCCGGTTGTTTTGTTGTAATCCGTTTTCCCTTGCAAAAAACACTATAAAATGACATTTCTTGTTCTAATATAATCAAATTTCAAGAATCCCTTGCAAAAAATAAGGTAAAGTGGACATTCGCGCGCGCAAGACGAAATCCTTCCAAAAGCTTAGTGTTCGGAGCGATTTTAACATAAAAACATCAAAAAACCAATGGTTTTTCAACAAAAAAATGTCAAAATCTCATCCCGCGCGCTCTTGCGGATTCGTAGGAAACCCAACACTTTTTAAACATTTCTGTCAAACGGGCTTTTGCGAGCAACTTTTTCGAACTTCTGCAACAACGGTTGCGCACCTGCCAGGGCCATCATCCCTGTCAAATAATACCATGCGGGACACATTCGTTTTTTCTTCGCGCGCGCACGCCGTCGTCGTCGGCCGCGGGGCCCTGAATAGTAGCCACGGTCGTCCGCATGCCACGAAGTGAAGTGTCCGAACGTCATAGGGCGGGAAGCTGGGTGTGGGTGGTGGCGAAGAGTCGTTTGGAAATTTGGTAGAGCTTGAACCGGCCCCCCCACAAAGTGGGGTATTGCCCGCCTCCTATGAAAACCCTGGCACTGGTGAGAACGGAGTGTCCCCAGTCTTAAATGATTGTTGTTGTTGTTGTTGTTGTTGTTGTTGTTGTTGTTGTTGTTGTTGTTGTTAGTTTTGTTGATGTAGCTGTTGCTGTTGCTGTTGCTGTTGCTGTTGCTGTTGTTGTTGTTGTTGTTGCTGTTGAATGTCAATCGCTAAGTTATAGTTGTTGGACCCCCCCAGGCGCTTTGGCGCTCTCGCCTCGGCGCCCGCTAAATATTCATCGAAAATGAGGCTCACGCTCGGGCGGTTTTGGGGGACGCCAAGACCGGCCCCCCAACAACAACAACGCTCCCGCTCGAGGCCTCCTCTTTTTTTCTCAGGGCCCGTGCTCTTGCTCGCCGCCGAAAGCCGCCGTCCCAACAAAACCAGCGCTACCGCTCGAGACATCCTCCCGTTTTACCCTGGGTCCTCCCGTTTTACCTTGGGCTGGCGCGCGACTCTTTCTCTCATCGGCGCCGCCCCCAGCAACAAAAACGCTCCCGCTCGAGACTTCCCCCCATTTTTACTCGAGGCGGTGCTCCTCCCTGCCGCCGAAAACCGCCGTGACGACGAAGCCAGCGCTCCCGCCCGAGTGTTCCTCCCGTTTTACGCTGGGTTTGGGATATACTTGTCGAATGGCATGTGAGCAGGTAGGAGCGAGTCTGGAAATTATTGTCGTCGTTGTCGTCGACGACGACGACGTCGTCCCTCTCCCCGCATTCCGCCTCCTCGTCATTCTCCGGCGGCGCCCGCGACCCCCCCCCGCTGCCCCGGAGGCGTGCCCCCACCTCGACGGCAAGCACGTCGTCTTTGGCAGGGCGCCAGGGCCGTGGAAGCGGCCTTCGTCGTCGTCGTCGTCGTCGTCGTCGTTACCGTCGCCGTCGCCGACGACGCCGCCGTCGCCGCCGCAGTCGTTTTTATCTCCGCCCTCGTCGTCGTCTTCGTCGTCCTCGTCGTCGTCGTCGTCGTCGTCGTCGTTGTCGTCGTCACCGCCGTTGTCGTCGTCGTCGTCGTTGTCGTCGTCGTCCCCGTCCCCGTCGTCGTCGTTGTCGTCGTCGTCGGGATGGACCAGTCTTCATCGTCGTTGGTCGTCTCACTGCTGCTGCTTCTCATCCTCTCCTTCTCTTCCTTTCCTTCCCGTTCCTCCTGCCCTTCTCTTCCTCGCCTCCCTCCTCCTCTTCCCTACGCTACGGTCGCTCCTTCTTCCCTTCCCTTCCCTTTCTTTCCTTTCCCTTCCCTTTCCTACTTTCCTCATCCTCCCCCTTCTTCCCCTCCTCCCTCCTGATAACAAGTGCTTTTGTGTCCACTTGAGTATTTCTGTGTTCAACTTGGTTCTTCTGTGTCTCAGGACGGTGTTTCTGCTCCCGTGGTGTTTCCTCTGTTGCGCTGCGAAAGGAGAGCGCCTCAGAGAACATGCGTGTTTGATAATCGCGTTACTCGAGCCTTTATAGGTAGGCCCCCCGTCGTCGTCGTCGTCGTCGTCGTCGTCGTCGTCGTCGTCGTCGTCGTCGTCGTCGTCGTCGTCGTCGTCGTCGTCGTCGTCACCGCCGTTGTCGTCGTCGTCGTCGTCGTCGTCGTCGCGTTACTGGGGTTGTCACAGGTGGGCCAGTCGTCGTCGCCGTCGTCGCCGTCGCCGCCATAGTCGTCTTGGTCGTCTTCTTCGTCTTCTTCGTCTTCTTTGTCCCTGTCGCAGTCGCCACGGGCATCTTCGCTATGCCAGCTCCTCCAAAGTCCAGGAGCTTGCCCCCGCCGCCAGCGCTAGCGCCCCCTGACCGCCAGCGCCAGGTCCTGCAACCGACGGCGAGCAGCAGCGTCGGCGGCAGCATGCGGCGGCCCGCTGCGTCCGAGCAGCCGTTCGTGAAGGGACCCGCCGCAGGCATCCCGCCGGGGCGGCGCGTCCGGGGAAGCGGCGCCCGGGTGCTCTGCCGCGCGGGGGAGATCCCGAGGGGCCCGAGGAGATGGACGCGCACGCGCACTCGCGCGGACGAGAAGGGCCTGGCGGGCCACAGCATTTTGGGCAGGCCGCGGGCGATGTGCGGGGGCCGGGGTGCTCTCTGATGCCGCCTGGCTTCGGCGAGCAGGCGGGCGCAGGCGAGGCGGCGAAGCGTCTGCGCCCCGCTCGGGTTGCGGCCGCTGGGCGGTTCGTCGGCGAGGACGCCATGACAGTGAAAGCCGTTGCTGGCGTTGTCGTCGGCGTCGGCGTCGTTCACGTCGTCGCTGCCGCCGCCCCCGCCGCCGTCGACGTCGTCGTCGTCGTCGTCGTCGTCGTTGCCTCGTTCTCGTTGTCCTCCTCGTCCGTCGGACGCTTGCGCTCGAGCGCGCACGCTTGCGGGGGGTAATTACGTAGGAGGAGGATGGGGGGAGCGAGGTGATTATCTTTTTGAGGTGGCCCATCGGGGCTCCATATCTTGTGGGTCGCCGGGTCGCCATCCTCAGACGGGGAAGGCCTACGGTCGGTTCGTATCGCGTCGGCGCGGCATCGACCCCGCCGCGGGCGTTCAAGGTTGACGGCCGCCACTGGCCCAGAATCGGCCAATACGGAACGATCTGGCGATCGAAACACCGCCGATCGTTCAAGGTTGAAAGATCCACACCGTGTCGGAAACCAACGCTGTGGTCGTCATGACACGAACTGCCGTACGGTCTTTCGCCGTCAGCTCCGTCGCGGCCAACCCCGACGGCGAGCCAATGGGCCCTTTCTGGCGCAGTGGCTCTGGCACGAGCGCGAGCTTGAGCCAGCGGAGTAAAGAGATGGAGGTGTCCAAGTCATCCCGTGGGTGAAGCCCTTCTAGCTGTGGGGCGCCCTGGAAACAGGCGACCTGTGCCATATGTACGGTGCTCCTTCTCCTCGAAGCTCGAAGATGCGGACCGTGTCACCACGAGTGTTCGAAACCCTCGAACCCCTCCCTCCCGGCGGTACTGGCGGGAGGGGCAGGAACAGCCAAGAGGGGAAGAGAGAAAGAGAAGGGGTGACCGAGGCGACCGAACGTTGGACACCACGCGACGCAGGAGGAAGGGCTCCTCCTCCTCCTCCTATTCCCCCTCCTCTTCCTCAGGTCCTCTTCCCCCTCCTCCTCCTCACCCTCCTCTTCCAGTTGTGGAACCGACGTGTTCGGTGAGGCGATGTGAGGGTAACGCTTATGGGGAGGGGCGGGGGAGCAGGCGTAAGAGGCGGAGGACGAGGACGAGGACGAGGACGATGATGGTGATGATGATGATGATGATGATGGTGGTGGTGGTGGTGATGATGATGTCGGTGATCTACTGATGATGATGCTGATGCTGATGATGAGGATGATGATGATGATGATGATGATGATGCTGATGATGAAGAAAATGATGTTGGTGCTGCTGCTGATGATGTTGTTGATGATTGTGCGGCTGATGATGATGGAGTATGATGATGATCATGATTCTTATGATCATTATATTGTTGATGATGATGATGATGATGATGATTGTTGATGGTGATGGTTATGCTAATGATGCTGATTGTGGTGGTGGTGATGATGACGACGAGAAGGAGAAGCAGAAGCGGAAGGAGGAGGAGGATGAGCATGAGGAGGGGGTGGAATCATGAGAGGATGCGAGGGAGAGAGCGGGAAAGAGAGAGTGAGAGGGAGAGGGAGGAATTCGACGATGATGCCGATGATGATGATGGTGATAATGCTGATCATGCTGAGTATGGTGATGATGCTGCTGCTGATGATGATGGTTATGATGATGATTCTGATCATGCTGCCGATGATACCTGCTGATGAGGATGACCATGATGCTTATGATGGTGAGGATGATGCTGATGCTGACGATGCGACTGCCGATGCTGATGCTGTTGCTGATGCTGCTGCGATGCTGATTATGATGATGCTGATGATGCTGCTGATGCCGGTGATTATGATGATGACGGGGATCATGTCGACCACGAATTTGCGAGAGATGATCCAGATGATAATTATGATGCTGGTAACGACGACGACGCTGATGATGATGATGATGACGATTACGATGACGATTATGATGAGGATGCTGCTGATGATTATGATGCCGATGATGCAGACGCCGATGATTATGCTGATGATGCTGCTGATGCTAATGCTGATGATGCTGCTGATGCTGATGGTGATGGTGGTGATGATGATGACGATGATGTCGATGGCGATGATGCTGATGATGGTTAAGGACGATGCTGCTGATGATGATGCTGATGGTGACGATGATGATGAGTATGCTGATTATGGTGGTGGTCTGGATGCTGCTGGCGGTCATGATGCTGCTGCTACTACTGCTGCTGCTGATAATGATGCTGATGATGCTGATGTTGATGCTGATGATGACGACAATGCTTATGACGCTGATGATGCTGATGACGATTGTGATGATGATGCTGCTGATGAATACGATGCTAATGAGGTCGATGATGATGATGCTGATGGCGATGATGATGATGATGCTGCTGATGATGATGATGATGATGAGGCTGATGATGCTGATGATGCGGCTGCTGCTGATGATGATGATGCTGATGATGATGCTGACGATGATGCTGATGATGATGATGATGATGATGATGATGATGATGATGTTGACGCTGTTGTTGATGATGGTGCTGGTGGTGATGATGCCTACGATCATGCGGGCGATAGTGATAACGAGTATACCGATCGTGGTTTTGGTGATGATGCTGCTGCTGATGACGATTATGGCGATGATGAGGCTGATGATGATGCTGGTGATGATGATGATGATGATGATGATGATGATGAGCATGATGACGATGACGATGACGATGATGATGATGCTGCTGCTGATGATGACGATGATGATGATGATGACGATGCAGATGCCGATGATGATGTTGCTGATGCTGCTGATGATGAGGCTGATGCTGCGGATGATGATGCTGATGCTGGTGATGCTGATTATGATTGTGATGCTGATGATGATGATGATGATGATGATGATGATGATGATGATGGGGATGATGATGATGATGATGATGATGATGATGATGATGATGATGCTGATGATGAGGATCATGATGATGATGATGATGATGATGATGATGATGATGATGATGATAATGATGATGGTGATGATGATGATGATGATGATGATGATGATGATGATGATGATGATGATGATGATGATGATTATGTTGTTGTTGATGATGACGATGATGCTGATGCTGATGCTGATGCTGCTGCTGCTGCTGATGATGATGATGCTGATGCTGATGATGATGATGATGATGATGATGATGATGATGATGATGATGATGATGATGATGATGATCATGATGGCTGTGGTGGTGGTGGTGGTGGTGGTGGTGGTTGTGCAGAGGAGGATGATGATGAGGAGGAGGAAGAAGAGGAGGAGGATGAGGAGGAGGAGTGCAGGTTGTGATTGGGTTGGGATTGCGCGTGTGTCCTGTGAGGTGCTCGAGGGCATGGACGTGGTGCTGAGGATGGACAGCTGCGGCGGTGCAGATGGCGAGTCATCCCATCTCCTCTCAGCACCCTGAATGCTGGCAACTGTCGGTAGTGTCTTTCACTTGAGCGGTACAGGAGGACGAGGCGGCGGAGGAGGAGGAGGAGGAGAATGGGGAGGAGGAGGAGGAGAATGGGGAGGAGGAGGATGAGGAGGAGAATGGAGAGGAGGGGGAGGAGGAGGAGGAGGAGGAAGGAGGAGGAGGAGGAGGAGGGAGGAGGAAGGAGGGAGGAGGGAGGATGGAGAAGGAGGAGGGAGGAGGGCGGAGGGAGAAGGGAGGTTTGATGCAACGCTGGCTTCGACGACGGGTCGTGCTCGCTTCGGACGGGCTCGGTGGCCAATCGGGGGTCGCAGAGGACCCCCAGCAAAAAGAGAGCAAGGGTGGGGCCCGGCCTTGTCGCCAAACTTCACGTGCTTGCTGCAGCTGAACTTCGAGCGGCGGCGCCGATGGCGCCCGCTCGGAGAAGAGATCTAGAGGGGGCGGCACCTAAACCCCAGGGAGCGATCCTCTCTCTCTCCCTCTCTCGACGGCGACGCCGCGCCTCGGCGCGGTTGGCGGCGATCCTGGCCTGCTGGGAGGAGGAGAGAACAAGGGGAGCGGGGGGGGGGCGGAGGCGGAGACGAAGGAGGCGGGGAAGAGAAAAGCGGCCAGGACGCCGCCTGCTCCTCAGGGGAGCCCAAACTCAAATCCATCGCAATGTCCACGCTTAACACTACGAGCTCCACTGACGTTGAGGCAATCGAGTGTTCGATGTGCCACTGGATGTCGCCTGCACGTCTGCGTCCGCAGTAGAGGTTGAGAGCGAAAAACGTGCTGCGCTGTATTCTGGTAGGTATCTGCGAAGCTGCAACTCCAGACAAATCAGCAGGATTGTAAAGGAAATTAGGGAGGACTCTATCGGGCCCAGAACCTTCAGGAGCCTGAATATCCTTGAACATTTTGAGGTACTCTGCTCTGAGCTGGGGCGGCGGAAGTGCATAATCAGCGTCCAGAAGAATATCTCGAGCTTGCTCTGGACTGAGGGCTTCAAGAATTTCGCGAACATCTTGGGGGCACTCTCCTGGGCCTCTAAATGCTGGACACTCCGTGCGCCACCTCCCTTGCCCCGCCTTCCTCTGAGCCTGAAGCCTCCTGTCCTCCTCCTCGTTCATGTCCCTAGCCTCCTCGTGCGTGCAGTACGCGTCAGAGAGCCAGTACCCGAGAGCGCACCTGGCAGAGTCGAAAGCCAGATGCGCCGTTAAAGCAGCGCGGTGTGCGAACTGCTGCCTGCAAGTAGGACGCTGTTTACTGCTGCCTTGAATACGTCGAGTGCTGTGAACTCTGCTGTGATGGCATCTGTTGACATGCATCCTTAAACCTTTGGGCTTGCTGAAACCCTCTCCACACCAAAAACACTTCCAAACCTTCGTGTCCTCGGCCTCGGCAGCGCGGAGACGGTGAAACGGGCTGTCGTACGCTGGCGGAACTCTTGAATCCCATAGGATATCAACAATTTCTCGCTCTGCAGCTGCAGCAAGGGCTTCCCTTTGCTGTTGACGCACCGTAGCTTCGAGCGCCTGTCGTATGGTTCCTTTCCAAGCAGTGGGGGATCTTTTCACCTCGACTTCCCAGGCGTGTAAGTCACTGTGCGGGTCGGGGAACTCCTTGAACCTGGGAAGATACTGCTGGATCCAAACCAGGTCGTCCTGAATCATATGCGCCCAGGACCTGGAACATTCCTGGAGACAGGCCGCCAATAAGGCAAGGATGTGCGGGGGGCCGGTGTGCAAGAGTCTGCCGAACAGGCGATGCCGATGCGCAGCCAGCAAGTGTTCCACCGCTGGTCTGGCCACAGCTGCGAGTACACTAGCATTGTGAACAGCACTGTCGTCTCTCCTAGGCAACCGCGCCACTGCTCGATAGTATCTCATGAGACCTTCTTGCAAATGCTGTGCTTGGGCTCTCGTGAGGTATCCCCAAGTACTGCTCTGGTAAAGTCTGCCCGAACAAACCAAATAATCTAGAAATACCATGGCCGACGTGCGCTCGATGGACGTGTGCTTGAAGACGCGCGTGCGAAGAGCTTGCCATGCTTGCTGACACCCTTGTTGCCTGTGAGCCAGCTCTGGGCCCATGGAGCCCGTCATGTCGTGCACCGTGCCGAGATGCGTGTAGTGCAGCACCCGATGCAAGATGACCGTGCCGACAGTGTTAGTACAAACATGTATGGTATTACCGAGTTCGTGAACTAAATGATGCTGGGTCTTTCTGGCTCCAGGACCTCGAAATTGAAACATGAAAGCCGGTTTGCTTGGTTTCACGTTGACGCGGCGACCCCGCTCGGAAAAGGCTTCGATAACAATAGCTGCCAGTATCGGTGCTTGCATGAGAAGCGTCCTAGCCTTGTCCATGAATACAAAGTGCGCGTCATCAAAAAAGGCTCCCTCCATGGAGTGGCACGTGTGCACAGGCTCCTCCTCCGCCTTCAGATAGGCAGCAAGGGACGATCTAAGCCACGCTGGGAATCTGACCGACACTCCGAGCTCGAGGAGACGCTCCTGGGCCAGGGACATGATGCGCGCCATGACAAAGTTAAACACGAGGTCCCCGTATTGTTGTCCTGGACCCGACCCTAGGAGCGGAAACGCGACATTCTCCCCGTCCTGGACGAACAACCACGACTGATCATATGCGTCCGACAAAAGTGCTCGGCTGTGTGCTGAGACTCCCGACTCCTCGAGAGCGGTGACGTGCGTCTGCAAATATTCCCATAACTCGTGTGCGGCCTCCGCAGGTAGACCGCACTCCTTCAAAAGTCGTGCTAGCGATTCATCATCGCCAGCAGTGGCAAAGACCATCTCGCGGACAACCTTGTAAAAAGGCCTGGGCTGCGTCGGTAAAATCGAGGAGCACCGAGAGTTTGCGAGCCTCTGCTAGTTGCTGCAAACCTCGAAGTTCCAGGGCAGAGAATTCAGTACCTCTGCCCGCCAGTCCGCCGAACTGTCTATCTCCAGCAAGACGAGGAAGCGCTTGGACCACTCGGGCTCTCGTGGTGGACCTGTGCCTCTTGCCTAACTGGGAGGAGCCCAATATGGATCTATAGTTGGAGACCTGGGAGGGGGCGCCAGACTTGAATAAGCTCCAGTGAAAACCACCTTTCCACTGGGTGGGCTCGCAAACTCTGATAGTGCTTTTGACCGCTAAAGGGTGATGCACCGCGGCAAGAATATGTGCGAATCTCTTGATAATAGCTCCTGCTATGCCGTCGGGTCCCGCTGCAGAATCTTTGGCCTGTATCGTAGCTTGCTGCCGTCTAGCTAAAGACGGGATGTCCTCGAGTGCGATGTCTAAGTTGTGCGTGATGGAGGGGTCCAGGGAGGGAAGTTGGGTAAAGAACCAATCCAGGTCCTGTCCAGGAACCAGAGCTGCGAATTCTTCCATCCCGATTTGCTGTATCCACCTATTCGCGACATCTACGAACGACTTGAGGGGCTGCCCATCAATACCTCCAAGTAACGGTAGCGGTGAAGCTGAACGCTTCTTGCGAGAGCATGCCCCCATGGCTCTCAACTTGCTGAACGCATCTTTAAAGTCGTGTCTTGCCCATGCTGAAGACACCTGGCTGGCCAACTCAGAAGCGTGCGCGCGTGCGTCCATGCCGACTCCCCTGTTGACGAAAACCGTGTGCGCTTCCAAAGACATCTGTCTGGCAGCGAGGCAAATGCCCGAAATGCGTGCTTGGTAGTTCCAAAGAGCAGGGAGCCCCGTCGATACCTGATCAGGCCAACCAGGAAGGACCCACTTGAGCTCCTCAAGACCATGCAATGGGGGCCTCTGGGGATCCAAGAAGCTGCCATGCTCTCTGACCCAAAGTCGGAAAAAAGGCCGTGCTCACGCGGTCCTCGATAGCGAACCCCGGCAACTTCTGAAACGGCAACTCCAGTACTTGATGTAAACGCCAACAGAGCCCCAGAAGAGCAGGCCGTAAGTGAGTAGTTAATAACTGCACTCTGGGAG